CTTGGTGAGCAGAAGAGACTTCTTTAAAAACATTAAAAATCTTACTGTTCAAAAACTGTTGACTGGTAGTGTATTAATTTAGCATGTTTATATCTCCCAGTGCTCTATAACACGCTGTAGCTGCCTGTTGCATGGAGAGATGAACACGTTTTAGGCATAAATAGAATTAACTCATCTAAACTGCTAAAACATGCCAATACAATCTTGCATTTATGCATATAAAACCAAACTTGATTCATAATCATAAGATTGTCTTTGTATATTCACTAAAATCATGTCCTTCTCTTTTTCTATCATGCATGTGTCAGCTGCGAGTGACACTACTTCTTGTGTTCATTCAGCTCCTGTTTGTCAGTTTATCCTCACGCCGGACTGAATCTCTCAAACATCTCAAGAATCTCATTTATCAACATGCTGGTGGATTTTGTAAAAATATCTTATCATCTGATAACACTTGATTCAATCAAACAAAACACTGCACAAGATCCTGAAAGAGGTCGCAGAGATTTAGAATACAGGCGTGTTTTAAATAAGACTTTGATTATTTTGGAAAACCAAAAAAATATAATTAAATCTGGAGGAAAATCTGTTGCCTTCCTAATTATCTTTTTCTAAATCAGACAGTTTGGTTGCATGAGTTCGGGTGTGTCTCTCCATTTGACACTTTTAAAGTTAATTTAGGGATGCGTACATTTCCAACATAATTACTCAAACAAGTGCACAATGCAAACTAAAGGAATCATTTTTCACAAAAATGAAAAATTGCTGAAAATGTGCTCACCCTCAGGCCATTCAAGATGTAGGTGAGTTTGTTTCTTCATCAGATTTGGAGAAATGTGTCATTGTATCACTGTCTCAGCAATGGATGCTCTGCAGTGAATGGGTGCCGTCAGAATGAGAGTGCAAACAGCTGATAACTGATGGACTGGAGTGGTGTGGATTACTTGTGGATTATTGTGATGTTTTTATCAGCTGTTTGGACTCTCATTCTGACGGCACCCATTCACTGCAGAGCATCCATTGCTGAGACACTGATGCAGTGCTACATTTCTCCAAATCTGATGAAGACACAAACTCATCCTAATCTCGGAAGGCCTGAGAGTGAGCACATTTTCAGCACATTTTCATTTTTGGGTGACCTGCTCCTTTAAAAAGTCTAGTGTTGCATTCTTGATTCGCAGTATGCAGTACTCCAGTTTCCCGGAATGTTTGGATTGGCGGAGTAGCGCGTTAAGCCACGCCCCGCCGCGCTCAGTGGGCGTGGTCAGCACATGTGTCAGCAGCAGCATGAGTCAATCCAACAATCTCACCCTCATCCGCCCGGAATACTTCAAACTATCAGGAGAGACGCCCGGAATGTGTCTCCTCGCATCAGTCCTCCTCTTCATCACATCATAAAGGACACTCGCCGAATCACAGGTAACACAGGAAACAATGTTGCATTTGTCATATCGAAATCGTGTCATGAACGCGTTTGTTTGTGTCATTGCATGTCGTCTGTATGTAAACAGGCGCACATATAGATTGAGGGTCAAGGTTACTGTATGTAAAGATGATTTAATAATGCTGTCTCGTCATTTTAAGGCATGCTGTCCTCTTGTTGACCGTGTGGGTGATATATTCAGGAGATCAGATGCGGAGGAGAAGTCTCAGTGCTTTCACTGCTTTATGTTAGTGCTGGAGATGAAAAGTCTGAATATGAAGCAGATGTTGCGCTGATATGCCGTCTGTAAAACACTGAATCAGATGGATTTGCCCTGCATAATAACCCTGTTTCATCATGGATGCACAAAAGAGACAAAGTCAGGTGTTTGAGACTTTTGCTTTCACATATTTCTTTGACAATATACCAGAAAAATTGCTTGCTGCACTCAGAAATTGCTAGTAAATTCACAATTAATTACAAAGAAAAGACAAGTATTGACACATTGAATTCAACATGACAATTTCAAGTAAAAAAGAAAAAAAAAATTTTTTCTTACGTGCATAATCTTTGTTTCATTGTATTTAAACTTCGGAAGTCATTTTTAGTTTGTCAGTATTTGTTATGAATATTTTTACAACAGTAAATTAATATGTGACCTCTAAGAGTGTAAAAACGTTCACAATCTGTAATTCTGATTCTTTTTCTTCTTTTTTTTGCCAAGTGACAACACATTATTACAGTTTTACTTTAGTATTGTGGACTTTTGTCACAATTACTACAATTCAATCCCCAAAAAATAGCAATGCAATAGGAATTTAAGGAAGTTATAATTTTAAAATGATTATTAAAGGAAAATATGTTTTTTGTAACATTATTTTCACGACAATTCCGTCCCAAAAATAACAATGCAATATGATTTTAAAGTCAACATTTTAAAATTATTATTAAAGGAAAATATGTTTTTTGCAACATTATATTCTCGACAATTCCGTCCCAAAAATAACAATGCAATATGATTTTAAAGTCAACATTTTAAAATTATTATTAAAGGAAAATATGTTTTTTGCAACATTATATTCTCGACAATTCCGTCCCAAAAATAACAATGCAATATGATTTTAAAGTCAACATTTGAACATTATTATTAAAGGAAAATAGCGTAAAACCTTTCACAATCTGTCATTTCGATTCATTTTTTAGACACTGGTGAATAACACCACATTATTGCAGTTTTACTGTAGTAATGTGGTAATTTGTCAGTAACAGGTCATTTATTGTAATTATTGATTTCCAGTGTAGTCAGGTGTGTCTGCTTACTCAGTAAAAGGCAAGTATGGGCTTATGGGTGTATATAATGATATTTATGAGCAAGAGGCTTGTGAAGTTGCATCTCATGCGATGCATTGTTGGTTATTTTATTTTTATTTTTTGCTATTAAACTGGTTTTATTGCTCTGAATAAAGTCTAATTCTCTAGATTCCTGTTGTTGATGATAATAATAAAGTGAGAGGTTGGCTAGATTGAATAATGCATCCAGTCATCAGAAACAAAACTGCATTGCTCTCATGCTGTTATCATTCTAGATTGTGTCATGTAAGCGTGACAGTCAGGAGGAGATGTGATAAATTCACACTATGTCTAGTGATGCTCTTAATAAGTCGCTCATTCCAGTGAAATGAGCAAGCCGTCGTTTGCAGGAATGTTTGTATGAAATCTCTGTACTTATATGGCCTTTCCTCTGAGCTACTTTCAGCCAGATATCATCTGAGTGATGATATTTTCATGTTAACAGGTTTGTGGCAAACACACGTGATTGTATTGTTCATATGTAGGCTATCATCACCCGTGAGAGCATCTGACCTCGCAGAGAAGCTTTATCAAGGTCAACAGAGAATGCAAAGGGATTAGAGGTCGACCGATACCGATAGCTAGGTTGGACCACACTGGCCGATTCCGATTAATCAACCGATAGTTTTTAAAATGGATACTAAATGAAAACTAAAACAGTGCTTTACTATTTTTTAAAAAGCAGTAGCAGTACTGAACCATACTTTGTAAATGAATAAACATATTAATATTAATTATTATATTGATCATTAATGTTATTTCATAGTTTACTAATGTTAAAAAAAAAACTTTAAAATTTAAAAATGTAGCCTATTAAGTAATGGTAAATGTTAAAATGAACACACTACACTCTAAAAAATGCTGGGTTGTTTCAACCCAACTTTGGGTCAAATATGGACTAACCCAACCGTTGGGTTAAATTTTTACGTTAAATTTAAAAAGTTGGGTTAGTCCATATTTGACCCAAAGTTGGGTTGAAACATAGCATTTTTTAGAGTGTAGGAACAATACTTCTACAGCTTTCATTAATATTACAAATGGACTCTTACTGTTACACTCTAAAAAATGCTGGGTTAAATACAACCCAGCACTGGGTAAAATATGGACAAACCCAGCGATTGTGTTGTTTTTGACCCAGCAGATGGGTTACTGCCCAGAAGGATGGGTTAAACAAAACATTTAACCCAACTATTGGTTGAAAACAACCCAATCGCTGGGTTTGTCCATATTTAACCCAGCATTTTTTTAGAGTGTAAGTATTATCATTTAATTTCAACAGTCATGCTTAAAGATGGCCATCTTTAAATATCTACACAAGGCCATAGCATTAAAATTACATACATAGGTTATTGATATTGTATGTGTACTCTCACACTTTATTTGCTTCTATTTTAGAACACTGCATGATTATCTAATCAAAATAATAAAAAATATGTAAGTCACACACTGGGCAAAAGCGCGCAGCACTGCATCTAGGAGAAATCACACACCAGACGCGTCACGTTCACAAGCAGTGGTCTAAAACGGTTTATTTAATCACCAAACGGACATAAGTTTGCTTCAAGAATGAACAATGTGGCATAAATGAGTTTGAAGCTTATTCAGTGTGTTTGTGGCCTGATTGTACAAGACTCTGTCCCCCCTTTTGTAGACGTCCTCTTTGGCCTGACGAAGATGATGAAGTTTTGCTGTAAACCATGGCTTATCATTGTTGAATGTTAAATGAGTCCTGGTAGGGATGCACATGTCTTCACAGAAACTGATATATGATGTTACAGATTCCGTGAGCTTGTCCAGATCGTTGGTGGCTGCTTCAAAAACACTCCAATCAGTGCAGTCGAAACAGGCTTGTAATGCCCGCTCTGTTTCGTTGGTCCATCTCTTTACAGACTTTACTACAGGTTTAGCAGATTTAAGTTTATGCCTGTAAGTCGGTATAAGATGAACCAGGCAGTGGTCAGCAGAGAGCGGAGATTCGCCAGATGGATGCTAGGCAACGGCGTTCTGAACCCGCGCTTCCTGAGCTTCACGAGGACGCCGGCTCGCTTCCCCCGTCTGCGCGTACTGAAGCGCTTGATCAGCGCCGCTGCTCCGCCAACTACAACGTTCAGCAAAACGTCCGAATAAACAAAATCCGGTAGAAGATTGTGTGGTGTGTTCTGCCGAATGTTCAGCAGCTCATCCCTGGTAAAACTGATCGTGTTTGAGAAACAAAAAACAGGAAAAACTAACAAAAACAGTACAAACACTGGAGAGCCAAACACTGAGGCTGCCGTCTGCGGCACCATCGCATAGCAATTTAGCAAAAAAATTATGTAATTTAATGGAAAACTATGTAATTGGCACTCTGTTCCGCGGCAGGATTTTCTGTCGGCTGCATTTAAATGCGCGTTTGAAGTTTCCTGCTCTGTGCAGCGCGCAGTGTCACGTGTCAATACAAACAACACGTGCTGTTAGTGATTTCGCCTCTAGAGGCCGCTGTATAATGGCAGCGGACCCTTCTCAGCCACTGGACGCAACCCGGAAAAGCTATCGGCATGGATTTTTGCCGATAACCGATAGTTCCACCAATCAACTATCAGTGCCGATTAATCGGCAAAACCGATGAATCGGTCGACCTCTAAAAGGGATTTGTTAATGTTAAAATGATTATTAAAGGAAAATGTGTTTTTGTTACACTATTTTCTTGATAACTCCATTGCAAAAAAATAGCAATGCAATATGATTTTATAGGTAAAATGTTAAAATGATTATCAAAGGAAAATGTGTGTTTTTGTGACATTATTAAAGAAAAAAATGCAACACAATGGAATTTTATTGAAGTTAATGTAGGCCTATTAAATATTTATTACAGGAAAATGGGCATTTTGTGGCATTGTTTCTTGACATTTCCATCATGAAAAATAACAGTGCAATGAGATTTTAAAGGTAAAATGTTAAAATGATTATTAAAGGAAAATGTACTTTTGTCACATTATTTTCTTGACAATTCCATCCCAAAGAAATAGCGATATAATGGGATTTTTTAAAGTCAAAATGTTAAAATAATTATTAAAAGAAAATGTGTCACAATTCCATTCCCAAAAAACAGCATTGCAGCGGGATTTTTAAAAATGTACAAAATAGAAATGAAAATCATGAAGTTGACATGACAATAATCATCCTAAAAATATACTTCAGCATGATATAGTTCCCTATTTCTATCTGCTTGATTTTGGGTCAAAATATGACCTGATTTTACGATTTTGTGCGATTCACTCTTCAGAAAAAAAATGACCGCAGTAAACATTACCGAGAAATGCAAAGAAGCATTGAGTCGTATTGTTCTGTGAGTTTCCCTTCACGTGAAAGTCTTTCCTTCTTGACTGTGACCGCGTGCTGAAGACATTGGAGGGTCTGTGTGAAGGACGTTCCTGGCATTCACGCCGAGATTCCTTCGTGCATGAACGTTTGCGCAATTTGTTCTCTAAACTGCAGAAAGGGAGTGTTTTAGTCTTACCTGAGCGGCTAAATTTAAATAAAGCATCTCTCTGACTTTCCCTCGGTCAAAACAAACTGGGGTAGAAAAGGGAGAATTGAATCCGGTGCCAAAGACGCTCTGGCGCTTTTGTTGAGCGTCGCTGTGGCATAAACGCTCTTTTGTCAGCGGTAAATCCCTGCAGGACGTCCCACTGTAGCTGATGGGACAGATTCCAGCACCGGGCTGGTTTGTTTTGTGTAAGATAATCAGATAGTGAAGTGAAGATCGTGTCGAATCAGCAGATGCACAGATGGATGTACAATACACTGCAATGCTTTTTATCCAGTGAGTCAGTGAACATCCTGAAATAGACATTCAAAGTAATCTTTCAAGCACACGATTTATTAAAAAGAAGTCTCTTCTGCTCCCCAAAGCTTCATTTATTTGATCTAAAATACAGTAAAAATTGTGAAATATTATTGCAATTTCAAACAGCTGTGATCAAAGTCTTAAAGTCTTCAGTGTCACATGATCTTCAGAAGTCATTCTAACATGCTGATTTGCTGCTCGAGAAGCATTTCTGATTATTATCAGTTGAAGAAAATGGTTGTGCTGCCCAATATTTTTGTGGAAACCGTCATACATTTTATTTTTCAGGATTCACAGATGAATAGTTCAAAAGTTCAAAAGAACAGCGTTTATTTGAAATCTAAATCTTTTGTAACATTATAAATGTCTTTACGATCACTTTTGATCACTTTAATGTGTCCTTGATGAATAAAAATATTCATTTCTTTCAAAAAAAATAAAAGGAAGTCTTACTTTCCAAGGGTATTGCACATGAAAGTGCATAAATCAAATGCCTTTTATTTGGAAAATATTGATGCAAAAGGAACTTTAATTTAGCTATAATTTAAGTGATGCAGTTTTTATTTTCAAGGCTGCTAGCAGTTCACAGTTTATCCAGAAGCTTACACTAACTGTAGTTTGGTCTAATATGTTTTCTATGTGAATATCTGTTAAAATAGAATTTATTTCTGTGATCAAAGCTGAATTTTCAGCATCATTACTGCAGTCTTCAGTGTCACATGATCCTTCAGAAATCATTCTAATACACAGCAACTTTAAATTAAGTGATGCAGATTTTAGTTTTTCATCCAAAAGCTTACGTTAATTATATTTTTGGTATGACTTTCTGACCTTCTGTATTGGTGTTTGTGTGTGAGATCAATGGAATATCTCGTCTCTGTCTGTATGATTTCATTGTTTGTTGAGTTTAAGGGTGTGTTCAGTCAATGCTTTCAGCTCATGTTTACTTACGCTGATGTGGAATAGATCTGAACTTGCTTTATAAAAGACGTAATCATTGTGCATTAAAAAGAACCTTTAATCTTCACAGTTACTATAAAAGCTCCTAAGTCTATGGTTAAAATTAGTTTCGTGCCAGCGCTTGCCATTCAGAGCCTCTTTCTGCGTCTGTTGATCCCAGAACAGCTCATGCCAGGTAAGTCTAAACCAGTGTGGAGAAAGACAAGGAGAGCTCATGTTGGGTTGAGTTTTGCAAGTCTGAACTGATCATCCATTCCTCTGGATTAAAGAATGTGTTAAAGCTGCTGTTTTAGCCTTCCTTTCTGTGACACTCGGCCCTCATTTCCTCTGAATATTGGTGTTTCTGATAGATGCTCTCACCTTCCTGCATCTTCAAGCATAGTTTGGATGTTTTGTAGCATGAGAGTTTTAAGAATTATTCCTCAAATCATGTGTCTTTATGCTTGTCAGATGTTGCTTTATGTTTCACCAGCACCAAATGTGTGCTAATGACTCAGAATTTGTCTCTCTTTTATGAAAGTAGGGTTGGCCTATATTTATTTCCATATTATTCATAATCTATGTTTATTACTAGTGGTCGACCGATATATCGCCAAGGCCGATATATCGGCCGATATTTGGCATTTTTCAAATATCGGTATCGGCCGATAAGTTTTTCTGTTTCGGCGCGACGGACTTTTATTTTGACGGCGCTGAGAGCGGCAGCGCCTGAGCACACAGTGCTCACATTCTCCCTCTTGTTCGCTGTTGTCGTTAACAGCTCTGTCTAATACGGATAGAAGTCTGCCTAATAATCAGATAGAAAGGAAATTAAAATGTATACAAAGTATTATATTATTAGTAATAGAAAGGCAAACATTATAATACTTTCTCGTTTGCCGTCAGCATTCAGCAAATACGCATTCATATCATTTAAACAAATCTTTGAATCAGGGGCGATTCTAAGATTTTCGTTTTAGGGGGGCTCAGCCCCCAATGAGGGTAGAATAATAAAAAATAATAGTAAACATTATAAATAAAATAAAAAATTATTGACTAATAGGGTAAGGTGGTAAACTAAACTTATTGCATTTTGCAACTTATTGTATTTTTGCAATTTAAAAAAAACTTTGTTTACTTTATTTTTATACCAGTTTTACAAATGAGGACGTCCCCAAAGGTAGCTTTTTGGAGATTTTGTCATGTGTAGCTCACTTTTGGGTACAAATTTGTCCCCAAAATATGGTTAAGTAGGTACACACACACACACACACACACACCTGTTTGCTGTACAAACAAAATTTTACTGTTTGCATTTCTAGTACAACCCTCTTTCTTTAGCTCAAGTATGCAAAACTATTTGCCATATGCACTGTAATTAATATGTTTTATGTTAAAAGTAAAATTTTCAAATAAAAATGGCAATGGAAAACCGATTGCTCCCCCATGATATTTTGTAAACTGTCTTTATGACAAAGAACTGCACAGATGCAGATATTATAACAATCTATCGATAAACACTATATATACACTATATATATGAATATATATATATTCAAATATAATTTATATTATATATAAATATTAATATTTCATATATAAACAAAACATATTTTCTTAAATATATAAATGCATGTGTGTGTATTTATATATACATAATAAATATATAACAAAGGAATTAAAATGTATACAAAAAGTATTATAACGATTGCTTTTATATTGTTAGTAATTGAAAGTCAAACATTATAATACTTTCTTGTTTACCGTCAGCATTCAGCAAATACGCATTTATATAATTTAAACAAATCTTTGAATGACTAATGAACATCTAATTTCAAAAACCTTGCAAACTTGGTCGAATCCAGCTGTGAGATCTTGTGAAGTGTGCATTTGTATCCTGCATGATCGCGTGTTCTGTGCGTGACGGTCGGTCCGTGCGAATTGATTGCTGACAGGAGGAGAGTTCTGCTTCACTGAAGACACGCGATCGTAAACTCGTGATTTCAAATTATGCTGCCCTTTATGCATTTGCTCACTGTCATATTCATGTCATTTTCACTGTGCTGTATGTAAAATGAGTGTTACCTTGGCTTTATTTGAAAAAGTATGATTCCCAATGCACACAAACTTCCCAGAATACTGAGTGCCCTGTTGCTTACAGTGTTTACTTCCTTTTTAATCATATTTTTATTAAATATTTATTTATTTGTGAAAAATACTTTGCCATCTTAAGTAAAAGTATGTTTATTTTACACATTTATTTTTTAATCCATTTTCAAATGATTTCAAATTTCTTGAATATTAATTAAAATAAATAAAATGATATCGGCTTTTTATCGGCCACCCTGCTTTCCAAGATATCGGCATCGGTATCGGCTGTCAAAAAACCCATATCGGTCAACCACTATTTATTACGATATTAATTTCATACCATTAATATGCAAAAATGCATTCTACATGTTTGTTAGACCTTGAAAATTAATGTAAACTTCACGGAGTCGGCTAACTTTTCATTTAGGGCTCCATGAAATTAGTTTTTTTATTTATTTTTGTATTTGTATTTGTATTTATTTATTAATTATTTATTTACTTTTTTATTTATTTTTCTAAATTCTTTTTTCCGTTTTATTTTTCCTGGATTCTGTGTTTTATGTTTTAACATGAATTTTTCATCGAAAATGGTGTCTAAAGAAATTAGTTCTTTAGACTTTAGCAATTTAATGACGCTTTTAAAATGTAATCACATGAAATAAAATATAACAATTTACAATAAATAAAATACTATTATTAAATTTTTAGTTTTTTGTCAAAAAAGGTTCTGCACAACTTGTATAAATTAAAACAGATAAAAAAGATCTTGGTTTTATGATATTTTGTATAATAATAATAATAATATTCAATTTATTAAAACATAACAACTATTATTGTTGTTGTTGTTGTTATTATCATCAACAACAGTTTTAATTTCTACTGTATGCAAGCTCTATTGTACCACACCTTATTAATAATAATAAATTAATGTAACATGTAATTTAATTATTGTTATTATTATTATGAACATCATAAGATATTTTTCATCTGTTTAAATTTATATGGTATAGAAGTTCTGTTGCACAGCACTTAGGCTATTTTATTATAATAATAATAATAATAATAATAATAATAATAATGTCAATTTAAAAAAAAAAGTATTATTATTGGTATTAATATTATTATTATTGTTATTATTAGGAATATCATAAAGATATTTTTCATCCAATTTAATTTATACAGTATAAAGTATTTTTACAGTATTTATACAGAATTTATACAGTATAAGTTCTTTTCCGCAGCACCTCATTTTATGATAACAATATAAAAAAATAATTGTGTTTATTGTAAATTGTGTAATTATTATTATTATTATTATTATTATTGCTTTGAGAAGTACTTTTTGCTGTACAGTAGGGTTGTGACCCCCCATCACCGTGGGGGCAGGGGCATTCCCTCTTTTCCTCGCTTTCCTTCACTTTTAAAGAGCTTGCAAAAACGGCGTGCGCATTTTACTTTAACTTTCAAATAGCGGTAATTCGGAGTAAAGCAATTGTTCGTTTTTAGTTTGTTTAAATTGTCCCTCTTTTCCTCGCTTTCCTTCGCTTTTAAATAGCTTAAAAGCTTAACAACGGTATCATCGTCAGCACCGTCTATCGCGGCAAGCCTACTGTACAGTAGTTATATAATTCTGTCACAATTTCTTCAAGTTAAACCAAACTTACTGTATATTTGGCAGGTTGTAGAGAAGAGATTAGATTTTTTAAGTGAATCTAAATAAAACTATTAGTATTATGTGTTTAATTAAATTCTCTGCTTTTTACTTTCGTAGCACCTCCCTCGATCTTCATCTTCATCATCATCATCATGTCTGGGAAGTCAGATGGCGCGCAGAAGAAGTGGGCAGCTGTGCGAGGTCGACTGGGCTCGTCTCAGGACTCGGACGGCTCGCAGGAGGCCAACCTGGAGAACGCAGACGCCGAGCTGTGCATCCGTCTGCTGCAGGTGCCCACTGTGGTCAACTACTCGGGCCTGAAGAAGCGTCTGGAGAAGAGCGACCAGGCCTGGATGGTGCAGTTCCTGGAGCTCTCGGGCCTCGACCTGCTGCTGGAGGCCCTGGACCGTCTGTCGGGACGCGGCTGCTCTCGAATCGCAGACACTCTGCTGCAGCTGACGTGTGTGAACTGTGTGAGAGCCGTGATGAACTCGTCTGCCGGGATTCACTTCATCGTGGATAATGAGGGATATGTGCGCAAGCTGTCACAGGGTAGAGACGCTCTTACTGTCTTATTTCAACTAGGGCTGGGACAGTAAATCGATGCATCGCGATTCGTGGATCGATTCTGAGATTTTCGGAATGCATCGTGATTCTCTCTGGAATTGATTCTGAGCTTAGTTTTTAACAGCAGATGGCGCTCTAGGCTAGTTTTTAACCGCACACTCAAATGCTCACGAAGAAGAGCGCTTGTGCGTTCGGTTGAGTAATGTAAGTGTTTAAATGTACTTGCACATCGGCTTTTATGCTTTTATGATGCGAGATTAATGTAAACACAGCCCACTGTGAACATCCTTGTAATTCGCTTAAACCTTTTCGAACTTTATGAACGATTATTTTAGGTTAAAATGGTGCGTGTGTAAGGAACTGGAAGCAAGCAGAATACGGCTGTTTCTAAAGTACGCAGCGCCATCTGCTGTTAAAAACTAAGCTCAGAATCGATTCAAGAGAGAATCGCGATGCCTTCCGAAATCTCCGAATCGATCCACGAATCGCGATGCATCGATTTATTGTCCCAGCCCTACTTCCATTGCATTCAGGGTACATATTTAACTAGATGCGAGATTAATGTAAACACAGCCCACTGTGAAAATCCTTGTAATTCGCTTAAACCTTTTCGAACTTTATGAACGATTATTTTAGGTTAAAATGGTGCGTGTGTAAGGAACTGGAAGCAAGCAGAATACGGCTGTTTCTAAAGTACGCAGCGCCATCTGCTGTTAAAAACTAAGCTCAGAATCGATTCAAGAGAGAATCGCGATGCCTTCGGAAAATCTCAGAATCGATGCAGAATCATTTCTCGATTCGTGATGCATCGATTTATTGTCCCAGCCCTAATTTCAACCCTATAAGTCCTACTGTATCATATTTCATATGCAAAAGCCTCTAGCAAAATATCGCGTATTTTTGCTTAGTTTGAGTCTCTGAATAAAATTTAGTTGTTTTTTCCTCCATATTCTCACTATATCAGACTATATGAGCCATAAAAGCCTGATGCATCAAAAATAATACTCATTAAAAAACACATATGCAAACTAAAAATTTTTTTTTTGCATATTTTTTCCAAAGTGTCAATAATCCGTTCCATTTTTTAAAAAAAAGGTCATTTCAATGGAATGTTTTATAGTCAGAATTAATTACTTTTAATCTCATAATTTTGACTTTCTATCTCATAATTTTGACCTTTTTATCTCATAATTGACTTATGTCATAATTTTGACTTTCTATCTCATAATTCTGACTTTTTATCTCATAATTCACTTATGAGATAGAAAGTCAAAATTATAACAAGTCAATTATGAGATAAAAAGTCAGAATTATGGGATAGAAAGTCAAAATTATGACAAGTCAATTATGAGATAAAAAGTCAGAATTATGAGATAGAAAGTCAAACTTACAAGATAGAAAGTCATAATTATGTCAGAATTTTCACTTACTATCTCATAATTGACATTTTATCTCATAATTATGACTTTTTATCTCATCCACTTAAGTAATAATTTTGACTTTGTCTAATAATTGACTTTTATCCGAAAAGTTTGACTTTTTACCTCAAAATTATGACTTTTTGTCTCATAATTATGACTTTATCTCATAATTCACTTGTCATGATTTTGACTGTCCCATAGCTATGACTTTTTACCTCAAAATGGACAGTGCCATAAATATGACTTTTTATGTCATAATTATGACTTTTATATTAGAATTATGGCTTACTATGTCATAATTTCAACTTTTCATCTCAACATTATGACCCCTAAAAGCTAAATAAAGTATGATACTCAACAAAAAACACATGCAAATTTTTTTTTACTTTTTTTTTATTTTTTTTTTTATATATATATACTGTATATTTTGTCTAAGAGTTCAAATAAACTGTTAAATAAAAAAATATGCACTATAGTTTCATTTGTCAGGCTTTACAGGGATAGAGGAATAGTTCACCCAAAAATCATTTACTCACCCTCATGTCATTCCAAACCCGCATTAATTTCTTTCACGCTTCTCTTTTGATGATGCAAAAACACGCCCGTCGAAGTCATGCAATCGCTGTTTCTACATCCGAAAGAAGGATTTGGCCGAACTGCTCCTTTAAAACTGTGCACTGTCCAGTAGACAAGATAAATTCAGAAAACACGCATTCCTCCAAAGCATTGCTCACAGTATCTGCATTGCTCAATCTTCACACCTATCACATGCTTTGGCTGTTTTTTTAACCATCAGAAGTACAAAGTTAACATTACGTCTCCCAAAAATTAGCTGCTAACACATCCTAAAAGTGAAGAGGGACAAAACGATGGGGGAGGAAGCTAAAAACACTGTCTTTCCTTTCCCTTTCCCTCCAGCTTTGGACACATCTAACACCATGGTGAAGAAGCAGGTGTTTGAGCTGCTGGCGGCCCTCAGCATGTTCTCTTCTGAGGGTCACAGACTCGCTTTAGACTCTCTGGACCATTACAAGGCAAGTGTTCATATGATTTATATGATTGTATGATTCATGCTCCTCCATCTGGATGAGTTAAGGGATTGATATCAGGTCAGAAAGCGAGTTTAAGTGTCTTTTACACCTGGTGATCTGAAGTGCTCAGCTGAGACGGATAACATGCGTGTGACCGTTTGTGATGGATTTCTTCTCTTAATATATCAGTGTGTGACTGCATGTGGGTAAAAACACAAAACTTCACACACTGTAGCTTCTAAATAGACTGAGGAATTTTATTATTTCTGCCAAAGTGACATTTTGCACTGAAATAAAAAAAAAAGATTTTCTGAAAAGACGATTTTCTTTCTGTATTTTTGTCTGGTTTTCCAGTACAGATATCTAAACATTCTTAAAGCAAGATACATTTACTTTATTTTTTTTAATTGCTTGCTGGCATATTTATTTATTTGCTTGCTTACTTATATTTACTTAGATTTTAAGAAAAAAAGAATCTTTGTTTTCATGAATATTTTCTTTCTTACCCAGTTGGCAGATATTATGATTTTTAATTTATTTATTTACTTATATATTTGTTTATTTGTGTACATATCTCTTTACTTATTTACTTGCCTATTTACATATTTTTTACATATCTACCTATTATTTATTTATGTACTAGATTTAATTATGTCTGTAATGTACTAATGAGATTTTAAGAAAAAAATCTTGTTAGTCTTGTTTTGTTGAATTGTTTATTTGGCAGATATTTTTCTTGTTTTAAGCTTTAAACTCACTTATATTTATTTAATTAATTAATTATTTATTTATTTTAATATCTTGTCATTTACCTTCTCAAGTAAATGTGCCTTGATTTAAGAATGTTTAGGTACTTGTTATTGAAAAAAGACAAAAATACTAAGAAAATTAGTTGTGGTAGTTATATTAACTGAACTTAAACCAGAGATATTCTGTGAAATCTTATGCATGCATATTTTATCAAATTTTCAATTGGACAGTTATTTTCTTTTTTAAAGCGCAAAGGTTGAATGACAGGGCTTGCATGTTAAAATAAGCTCAATATAAAGTCTGCATGACGTTAGTGTTGATGCGAGTGTTGTGTTTGTCTAACAGTCTGTGAAGACGCAGCAGTATCGATTCAGTGTGATTATGAATGAACTCCAATCCACTGATAATGTGCCTTACATGGTGACACTTCTGAGTGTCATAAACGCCCTGATCTTCAGCGCCGACGACCTGCGCCAGAGAGACAAGATGCGCAAGGAGTTCATTGGTACGTCAAACCTAGATACATAGTACATTAAACTTCTATTTACTGTATACTGCAGAAAACTATGAGTAGCATGCAAGTATGCTGTTTAGAACACAGATTTTATTCCAAATACAGCTTTTATAGAATACTAGCATACTACATACTGCACAGTGTACACTGAATAATGCCTACTGGTTATTAAAAATAGCATGTGAAATAGCAGGCAATATGCAACCATTTAGAAGTTAGTATGCTTTTATTTTCATCGAATATAGAATACTGGCATACTACTTACTACATACTGCACAGTGTACACTGAATGCTGCTTGCTATTTATTAAAAATAGTATATGAAACAGCATGCAATGTGCAACTATTGAGACAATAGTATGCTTTAATTTAGTGTTATTTCTGTAAATTGCAGTGTGATCACATGAGTAAAACTGTTCAAGACATGCCCTTAGCATGCAATATAGAATACTTGCATACTACTTACTGCATATTGCACAGTATACACTGAATGCTACCTGCTGTTTATTAAAAATAGCATGTGAAACATCATGCAGTGTGCAACCATTCAGACAGTAGTATGCTATAATTTTGTGTTTATTTAGAGTTTTTTCCTGGAAAATAAATTAGTTTTTTTTTTAAATGTAAATTGCAGTCTGATCACATAATGCGTAAAGAAAGTGTTAACTCTTGTTTCTTATTGTATATAGCACATTTTGATCAATTTAGTAGGTAATCTAGGTGTGCAACCTATTGTGCATGATATTCATATTGCATACTTCAAAAATAGTATGAGTAGCATGCAATTATGCTATTTTGAACACAGCCCTTATTAATAAAATCTAAAATAGTACCTCAATGATACTAAAATAACACATCTGTATATTGCACATTTGGACTATAGGTCATCTGAACTGTGCACAATATGCATACTGCAAAACTAGTATGAGTAGTGTGGTTAGTATGCAGTTGCTAACAGAAGTGATCAGGTCTTAATTGCATTCACCTGTTTGTCACTCAAGCACACGCCTCCTGTTTTGTGCTTTAACACAACTGAGCTTTCCAACAGAGCGCTAGATGTTTTTGAGCATTGTTTATGGTATATTCATGGACTTTGTTTATTTTCATCTACCAGGATTACAGCTGCTTTATTTCTGTAAATTGCAGTGTGATCACATAATGAGTAAAAAAAAAACTGTTGTAAAATGTTGTGGCTTACTGTATTTTGCACATTTTGACTGATTTAGTAGATGCAAAAATAGTATGAGTAGTATGGAAGAATGCTATTTTGAAAACAGTCCTTAATCAAAACATGCCCTTAGCATGGAATACTAGCATACTATTTACTGCATACTGCACAGTGTACACTGAATGCTGCCTGCTATTTATTAAAAATAGTGTATGAAATAACATGCAATGTGCAACTATTGAGACAGTAGTATGCTTTAATTTAGTGTTATTTCTGTAAATTGCAGTCTGATCACATGAGTAAAACTGTTCAAGACATGCCCTTAGCATGCAATATAGAATACTTGCATACTACTTACTGCATATTGCACAGTATACACTGAATGCTACCTGCTGTTTATTAAAAATAGCATGTGAAACATCATGCAGTGTGCAACCATTCAGACAGTAGTATGCTATAATTTTGTGTTTATTTAGAGTTTTTTCCTGGAAAATAAATTAGTTTTTTTTTTAAATGTAAATTGCAGTCTGATCACATAATGAGTAAAGAAAGTGTTAACTCTTGTTTCTTATTGTATATAGCACATTTTGATCAATTTAGTAGGTAATCTAGGTGTGCAACCTATTGTGCATGATATTAAATGTAAATTGCAGTCTGATCACATAATGCGTAAAGAAAGTGTTAACTCTTGTTTCTTATTGTATATAGCACATTTTGACCAATTTAGTAGGTAATCTAGGTGTGCAACCTATTGTGCATGATATTCATATTGCATACTTCAAAAATAGTATGAGTAGCATGCAATTATGCTATTTTGAACACAGCCCTTATTAATAAAATCTAAAATAGTACCTCAATGATACTAAAATAACACATCTGTATATTGCACATTTGGACTATAGGTCATCTGAACTGTGCACAATATGCATACTGCAAAACTAGTATGAGTAGTGTGGTTAGTATGCAGTTGCTAACAGAAGTGATCAGGTCTTAATTGCATTCACCTGTTTGTCACTCAAGCACACGCCTCCTGTTTTGTGCTTTAACACAACTGAGCTTTCCAACAGAGCGCTAGATGTTTTTGAGCATTGTTTATGGTATATTCATGGACTTTGTTTATTTTCATCTACCAGGATTACAGCTGCTTCACCTGCTGCCGAAGTTAAGGCGAGTTTGTTTAATTCATTGAAATGTGCAACTGTGCACAGAAAAACAAAGTAGAAGTGCACACCGAGCAAAGGAAATTTGCAATAAAGCTCAAGTTGGAATGCTCAGTTAGTGTGTGTGTGTGTTATAGAGAAGAAGATGATGAAGACTTGATCATCCAGTGTGAGGCGTTTGAAGAGGCTATGGCTGAGGATGAGGACGAGCTCCTGAGGCTTTATGGAGGAATTGACATGAGCAACCATCAGCAAGTCTTCACATCTCTGTTTAACAAGGTGAGCAGCAAGGGATCAGCCATAATGCCAAAAATATTATTATTATATGATTTTTCCCCCCATATTCTATCAATAGTGGTTTGGGGAAGGAAATGCTTTCCCAATGTTTGTCTGACCTGGAGAATGAATGTAAACATAACTTGTTTGTTCACAACCTTTAAATTTAGTGCTGCATGAAATGCATTTTATGTTTCCCTAAATTCTGCATTTTTCACTTTATATTTTCTGCTTTCTGTGTCTTATGATTTAATACAAATGTATCATCAAATCTAATCAAATGAAAAAAAAAAAAAAATTAATTTACAACAAAACATTGCTTTTTTTTTTTTTCCAAATAAGATGCTGCATAACAGAACTGTATGAATTAAGACACGAATGAAAAAATATCCTGGTTGTGTGATAATTCCTTAAAAATAAAAATATTATTATTGTTCCTTTAAGAAGTGGGTCAGACAAGACATCCCATTTAATTAAATTTACAAAAGTTATTTTATATACATAGATTCTAGAAAGTATAATAAATGCAAATAGTGTTTACTTTAATGTTTCAAATAACTTTTGTAGAAAAAAAAGTCAGCAAAGCTCCTGAGAAACTCTGCTCAAGTGCACCGAGGGCGAAAGCTGCTTTAAACGCAAAGGATGCTCCCACCAAATGTTGATTTCATTTAGTTAATAGAAGTTAATTGATAAAGAAAATCTATTTATGACAGCGTCCTCATTTTACAGCATTTTTACACAAGTGCCTCAAACTTCTCACAGTACTGTAGCTTTGCAGGAGGTTTCTTGAAGCGTCTTGGAGACGTTCCCACAGTTCTTCTGGGTTTAGTCCGTCTCAGTTTGTTCGGTTTCTTCAGGTTTATTTGACCCTCTAACTCTAGCACTCTCTATTCTAATTCTATTCTTTAAAAATTTGCCCCTTTTAGACTTGCACTCTATTCATTTACTAACTGCTTGTTTTCTTTATTTGAAAAAAACTAACACTAGCTTCTCTATTCTTTTGTATTCTATCTGTTTTCTTTTTATTTATTATACAATTAACAAAAAGCAAAAAAAGGCCTCTAACACTAGCTTGCTCTATTCTGTCTGTTTTCTTTTTATTTATTATATAATTTAAAAAAAACTTGCTGCGTTAAGTTAACTGAGGCTTGTTATAGCACTTGCATATCATTGCTCTTTTGTTGATTTTAATTGCTTCCGTTGTCCTCATTTGTAAGTCGCTTTGGATAAAAGCATCTGCTAAATGACTAAATGTAAATGTCATTCCAGACAGACTGATGATGATGATCAGATCTCTGTGTGGAGCAAACAAAAATCTCACTGCATTATTACAATTAATGGCAAAATGAATGTTTGGAAATGTAAACTGATATTTCCTACTCACACACTACAGCAAAAGATAGAAATAACTGACTTAAAACCATTTTTTAGCTGGTGAGAAGAATACTAGTGTTCTAATCATTTTGGCCACCACTGTATATTTTAGTACACAACAGTACAGATAAATTCTGTCGTGGTCATGGCTCATCTTTCAGATCTGCGGTGATCTCTCTGTGTTCTTCGGCTCGTGTGGTGTGTTTGCAGGTGAGCATCTTCCCGTCGTCTCTGCGGCTGTTGTCCGTCTTACAGGCGCTGCTGCTGCTGGGTCCCGAGCGAGCGGATATCTGGCAGGCGCTGGATGCGCTCGCTAACCGAGCCGTACTTGATCGCTCAGAGCTGTGAGTTTCTCTCTGCGTTCCACTCTGTTTCTCATAGAATGGATTCGGTTTGAAACACTGGCCCCTTTAATATCAATGCTTTGACGGTGAATAGTTGTCTGTCCTACTTTTACTTTACTTTACTTTTAGTCATTTAGCAGACGCTTTTATCCAAAGCTCCACACAGTGGAGATCCTACTGCGGAGATCACAACAATCTAACATAGTACATTATTCTCAAATGTTGAAAAGTTGTGGCTAGCTGTCAATATTACAGATCCTATTTTTTTTTTTTTAACTAAGGGGCACAATCACTCACTAAGGAAGTTTATTTATTTTTTTGGATTACAATATTCTGTGGCATTACTATGACATACAGCAATAATTCAATACCATGGTATTTATTTATTTATTTGTACTTATTTACTTGCTTTGTTTACTTATTTTTATTTATGGTCTTATATTTATTTACTTACTCATGCATCACTTTCTTGCTTATTTACTTTTTTTTACTTATTTACTTATTTGTTTGTATATCTACTTTCTTGTTTGCATATATTTACTTTATTTACTTTTTACCTATAATGTACTTATGCTTTCTTATTTACATTTATTTAATTTAATTGCTTATTTAATTTTAGTCTTATTTCCTCATACATTTACTTGCTTATTTACTTTTTTGTTATATTTACATATATTTATTCACTTGTTTACTTTACTTACTTATGTACCTATATATTAACTTTATTTACTTGTATACTTGATTATTTTCTTGTTGTCTTTTATATTTGCTTGCTTATTTATGTATATCGATTACTTATTTACTTAATTTATTATTTATGTAATAATTAACGGCTTGCCGTGCATTAAAGGATTTTAAGTGCACGACGTGGAGGCCAAGAACCACCCGACGCGAAACAGAGAGAGAGATGACCGTTGTGTGTGCTTTACCTGCATCTCTACAAACAATTAATTACTTCATAAACAGCCGATTTTACCATCTCGCTGTTAAGGAATATAATGTAGCGATGTAGTATCTAGGCCTTTTTATTAATAAATATCACGGGGAAGCTTTGACAACAAGTTTGTGTGTGCGATCTCTCTGTCTCTGTCTCTGTGTGCGCAAGTGTTGTGTGTTTTGTGTGCATCAATTAAAGCAGCGCATTAATATAGAACGGTGATTAAACTGACTTGGAACTACCTGTGCATTAAACGGTTTTAATGCATACCTGCCAGCCAATCAGAATCCAGTATACAGACAGACCATGGAATAATTATATATAATCTATTTACCAATATATTAACTTCAGTTATGTACTTATTTACTTATTAATTCACTTTAATTTATTTAAGCTTGTTTGTTTATTTATTTAATTGTTTTTATTTATGGTCCTATGCTTATTTACTTGCTTGCTTCAAACTTGCTAATTTATTTTTTTTACTTCATTGTTTATTTTCTTTTATATTAATTTGCTTATGTACATTTATTTATTTACTTTACACTTATTTACTTCATTGACTTACATACTTATTTGCATTTTTATTTCAATTATTTACTTGCTAATTAATTTATTTCCTTTTAAATTTGATTTTTAAACAAATAAATGTATAAGGAAAAAATTTGAATTAATCACTAAATTATGCTAATATTTACTTTTTATATTAATTTGCTTATGTACATTTATTTATTTACTTAACTTTACACTTATTTACTTTATTGACTTACATACTTATTTGCATTTTTATTTCAATTTGCTTGCTAATTAATTTATTTCTTTTTAAATTAGATTTTTAAACAAATAAATGTATAAGGAAAAAATTTGAATTAATCACTAAATTATGCTAATATTTACTTGGAAGTTACTTATTTCCTTGTGTGTTTATTTATGTTTATTGTTTGTTTGTAAGATTTCATGTTGCCTGTACACTCTTAAAAATAAAGGTGCTTCACGATGCCATAGAAGAACCTTTTTGTCTAAATGGTTCCATAAAGAACCTTTAACATCTGAAGAACCTTTCTGTTTCACAAAAGCTTCTTTGTGGCGAAAGAAGGTTCTTCAGATTATAAAAAGGTAAGAAAGAGAGGGTTCTTTGACTGAATGGTTCTTTGCAGAACCAGAAATGGTTCTTCTATGGCATTCCTGTGAAGAACGTTTTGAAGCACCTTTATTTTTAAGAGTGTAATGTACTGAAATGTGATGGTTTCACAAAGTGATTTTTCCTCTCTCTCTGTGGGTTCAGCTGAGATGGACTCGTGTGAGAAGATCCTGCAGCGTCTCGTCTTCACTAAGGAATCGTCCGAAGGCTCTTATGAGGTCGACGGTTACGAATCCAAAAGAAAGAATCAAGCCGTACAGACGGAGACCAAAGACGATAAACTGGAGTGTTCCTGCAAACCAGCCAAAAACCAGGAACCTCCGCGCAACTCCACAAAGACTGGACCTGCTTCTCCTCCTCCTCCTCCTTTACCAGGAAAGGGAGCTCTTCCTCCTCCTCCTCTGCCCAGCATGGCTTCTCCTCCCATCTCAGCAGTGCCTCTCAAAACAGGAGCTGGACCTCCTCCTCCACCTCCTCCTCTTCCAGGAATGGGTGCTCTTCCTCCTCCTCCTCCTCCTCCTCCTCTGCCAGGAATGGAAGTTCTTCCTCCTCCTCCTCTGCCAGGAATGGGAGTTCTTCCTCCTCCTCCTCCTCCTCCTCCTCCTCCAGGAGCAGGTGATGTGATCGTGGCTCGGACGTATTACCCGGTTATCCAGTGTTACTCGGCGCCGGTGAGGAGCGGCCCGCATCCCACGCTCCGGATGAAGAAACTCAACTGGCAGAAGCTGAACTCCAGAGCTGTCACCAGTGAGATCCGTGAGGAACGCTTCCATTCCCAGTAGGGCTGCACGATAAATCGCATGCGATTAGTCATGCACATCTCGTCAGTAAAGCCGGTTCTGTGATTAGTAGTAAATCTCCAGCACGTGCTTTCAGATGGAGCAGCATTTACTACACCGAGCCGTAGTTCACTGACAAGCTACGCAATATTGCGTTCATTATCGCAGACGATTTAATCACGCGATAACATAGGCGTGGGGGTGCTGAGGGTGCTGCAGCACCTCCTGTTTTTTCTGTGGGCAACTGTTTAACTGTTGGGAATAAAAAAATTTAAAAAATCGAAGTGTCTATTTTACACTAAGTGTAAATAGCCCGCCTTGTTGGAAGAGGCTATTTACACTAACGCCACTCACCAACGTGTGATTGGGCTAGTCAACCTTACAAAAGACGGCCATCAGTCGTCAGATTCAGTAGCGTAGATGGTAAAGCATGTGTCATACTCTTTTTGACGCGATCGATCCGGGTTCGAATCTGCCTTTTGGCAAACTTTTTTCTCCCTTTTCAAATTTCAAATCACATCAGAAAAGCATTTATTTTTAATAAAAATGAAGGAAATAATCAAAAAGTTGAAAATAAAGTATCGGGTTGGGTTAGGGTAGGTGTAGGGAGGGCTTTTGTCCCAGTAAGGTGACATCCATTTAATAATTTGAATTAAAATTCTAATTTACACTAAGTTATTATTGCATACTGTTTTATAATGTATTACAATGCTGAGGTGCAGATAATTGCCACTATTTGCAATAAGTAATTA